GATAGATAGATGATAGATAGATAGATAGATAGATAGATAGATAGATAGATAGATAGATAGATAGATAGATAGATAGATAGATAGATAGATATTTTCTCGGCCCTCTTTCTAGTTCGCACCAGAAAACGAAACTTTCCAAAGTTAAGAAATATCGGCCGAGGAGATACCTGATGCGCCAGGCGACCACCTCCGTCACCTAATGCCTTTGCAAACCTACTTTGCTTCTCTCCTTAAGTCTGCAGTCAATCTTTTACTTCTGGCTCCCTTTCCTTGTGTGCAGTTTAATTATGCTAATGCCCTGGGGTTTTTCACCTCCATCTTATGCCAAGGAGCTGCCAATGTCTCCTTCCAGGAGTTTCTCTCAAGGGTGACAGATATCCGCTTGGCTATCCACTGTCCTGTCCACCTCCCTCTGCATTATTGCAAGTGTGTTGACATCATTTGTGTAGAAACAACATTTTATACACTTGTGGGCTTACTGTATAGAGGTAGTTCTCAATTTACAACAGGTTTAGTGGTCGTTCGACGTGTCAACGGCACTGAAAAGGGTGACTCATCATCATCTTTTAACAACCCTGTAATCGATTGCGGGGCGGAGTCTAGGCAGCTGAAAGTGTTTACTGGCCGGATGCTCCTCTTGTCACCAGTGCGGAATCTTGTTCACAAGAGTGTTTGAATGGCCAGATGCCCTTCCCTGTCACCAGTACGGAGTTTTGTTCGGCAGATAAATTCTCATTGTGCCCAGAGAGAGAAATATCTGCTCCTGCCTAGGATCGAACTCACCGTCTCCTGATTGTGAGGCAACCGCACCACTCCCCTGAAAAATGTGACTGACAACCGTGTTTCACACTTACGACTGCTTCACGCAATCAAAATTCGGGCGCTTGGCAACCGACTCATACTTAACGACAGTTGCGGTGTCCTGTGGAGTGTGTGTGTGTCACACGGTCCCCTTTGGTGACCTTCTGAGAAGTCAGATTCGCTTAACAACCAGATGACTTGCTTATCAGCGTCCGTGATTCGCTTAACAGCCGCGGCAAGAAAAGTTGTAAAATTTGACAAAACTCACAGAAAATAATTCCTTTGGTGATGTGAGACCACTGTTACCATTCAAGGGCAACAATTTCCTCCCTCCAGCTTGGGGACCCCAGAATCCATGTTCCCCAGACTGTTTCTTGTCAGAGTTTATTTATTTATTATTTATTTATTTATTAT